GCAGAGATATGCTCATCTCAAACTCCCAGTGAAGAGGACAAACACTACGAAAGGAATTCCTTTCGTATACTCTCATCGGTCGTGTACGTATAAAATTGAACAAGATAGACAAACGTGCATCACACACTGTACACAATCACACACACACACATGGTTAATACTAACTAGATTTCTTAATTCGCTTCATTTGTCTATCTGGTTCNCTCGCAGTGTTTGTCTTCTGACTTGCCTGTTCAAATTTATTACGGGATCCAAATGTCCCAGTGAAGAGTCATGTGAACAGCAATGAATGAGCCTATTGACATAGTCACACTCAAATTGAGACTGAAAATGTTACATTCAAGTGTGGTCTAATGACACACTAAACAACAATGAAGTAAACACAACAACCCAATACTGAAGTTTCTCTACTTCGAAAAAGTTGTACACAACACCAAATAAAACTCAGCTTCTTTGCCTTTATCAGATTTTTTCTCACGTGTCTGCAAATACTGCGGGGGATGAGCAAAAAAAGGAAATTGAAACACTGATTCAGGAGTGAAAATGTCTCATGTCGCATCGGTTTTGCTGGAACAAATAAGTTGCACCATCCTATGTGACCAGGAGGCGGATCGACGCACACAGACTTTTTGATATGCTGGAATTGGTTGACCTCCCTCTTCCTGAATTAGTGGATCTTTGCTTGCATCAAGATGTCGACCACGTGGAACGTGGAGATGAGCATTCGAAGACGCACGAAAAAACAATCGTACAGTCAGGACATTGAGGCAAAATAGCATCCTCAAAACGAAACAAATTCCTTCCGCCTTGAACTGCGTAAAAGAGCATCCACGAAAAATGGTCCATCCAAATACTGACTGTTCAATCAGCCAAGCCCGGGCGAAGCGGCCGGAGTAACTTGATTCGATATGATCCTAATATGAAGTCCTATACACCTAGGAGCAAACCCCTGTCCACAAACTCTTCTTGTGTTTATCGGAACTAGTGATTGGATGCTGCAGGAAACAACATTAAGGTGATGCCATGTGATATATGTATAGACATCGGTAGCATATTTGAGTCAAACAGAAGTACTATTCATACATAACGATCTTCGAGTGTCCCCGTAGTCATTGATGTTTACTCCGGAACGTTATCGTACCCATGTATGTAAATTTTGAAAGGGAAACAACGTCGAAACAAAAATAGCTTATTTTCCTAGACAAAAGTATTGCCCCCCCCCGTGCATACACATGAACTTTACCCATGGAAGCTAGTTTATTACTCAGTATAAGAAGCTGTCCTTGTCGATATTACTTCATCATCAATGCTTCTCATTCATGTTTTGCAGTGTAAACTCTGGAATGTTGGTACTTTTTTCCCGTGAGAATAGCACACATTTTTGATTGGGTTCCAGTCTGGAACGCAAGCATGCCACACCCGTGTTTCGATGTCGCGAAATAATAACTGGCATTTTATTCGTTAAGAGTATTGAACTACAGTGATATCGTGCTGGGAAACGGTTTCAGAATGTCCATTTGATGCCATTGCTGCCATAAGGTGCCACTCCAAGGTAATTATATACTTCTTGGATTACTTGGCTGTCTTTGTTCTTTCAAGGTCGTTGGGAATGGTGTGAGCATGACCGTAGCTTACAACAGTCTGTCAACCACTTACTCATCATGGTTGCCAGTTGCCATACAAAAATATACAAACTGGTAATGTCTGTCGCACTCGTAAATCTGAGTTGGGTTTATGAGGTCCATGAGGGTGCAACCATTTTGTTGCGGTAAGCATTTCGTTTTTCCTTACATATTCTTGTTAGAAATTAAGATAATTTGTTGAAATTTTGTATTTCGATTGCCGTTTAGATTCTCAGAAATGGTGATGCTTGTGGGAGCAGAGATGATAAAAAATCCCGGGGGGGCAGTACTTTTTTCGCGAGGTATACTTGTACTCAGGAAATCCATTCTCCACGCAAATCTTATTCGCAACACCGAGTATATTTGTTTGGATAGCCCTTTCAGAACCAGTCCATTAATGAAGCATTGTTATAGTTCTACGATATATATCTATATGATGGGCTGAGAGAGAAAACAGGTAGCAAGTAATCAGGTACCAAGGTTCGTCATAAATTTCACACGGGATAAAGTTTATAAACTCACCAGTGTGTCGTACATAAGCAACTCTTGTTTCAAAATCCCATTTTCTTTTTGCAGTTGTTTAACAGTCGCCTAGGAAAGAAACGAGATTGAACATCACAAAAAATTATCCATGCTTGATTGAAATATTGGTTCTCTTCTAACAGCTTTTGTTTGTATCGTGACGGTGAGAGAATGCTCAAGCACCAGTCAAGCTTGTGCACGAAAACGAATCGACAAATGTGTCTGGGACTGTTTATCCCCTCTCTGTGAACTCAGTCGATTAGGATTCGTGGTTCGATCCTAGAGGATTAAGAAATCTACGTCCGACATTTCGTTTCATCTATGAATCTACGTAAGTGTATTGCAAAACATTCACACTATGTGGATTTTTTCCAATTCAACCTATCATTCAGTGGATACGACAGTCTACATGCTTCATGGAGTAGCACAAAATGCACAACGGGATAAAAAGGAATGTAAGATGTATTGTTAATCACAAAACTCGATGTCTCGTTTTCTCTCTCCAGTCACATGATTCAGTGTGTCCTGTCAAGTCATTCACAATGGAGCAAGCCATTTTTACAGTATAATGCACTCCAGCAATGAGAGATTACGCCATCCATGAACAAACCCGATGCAGCCTCCAAGAAATCACTAGGATAGGGGAAGTTCGGGTCTGTGCGGTCGATGGCTTTGATATCTCAGTACATATGTGATAGCCCAAGAGAAACCAATGGTGCTTCATCGTTCGTATTGTAACAAGGAGGCCAGTTGGCTAGCAAAACGTTTATTTATTCAATTCAACAACAACCGGTGCAGGCGTTCAATTACATACAATCAAATCTTAACCGCGAGGCAGGATGATTCATGTCTCATTCCGTTGGTCAATCTCTGTTGGCTTTGGTCCGCACTTGGCACGTACGTTGCCTCTTCTTCCGCGTGCCGTTCCGACTGGTTTGACCCGATCGTAATGCAAGATACGTTGATCGATAGCTCCGACGTTGTGATTGTCGGTGTATATCTTTCTGGCTAGATGCGGATTGTTCGTCGCGCTGTAATTGTCGATTCGTTCGTTTTGAGTGGTAGTCGGCATTGTCTCGCGAAGCATTTCCNCCGTTGGTCAATCTCTGTTGGCTTTGGTCCGCACTTGGCACGTACGTTGCCTCTTCTTCCGCGTGCCGTTCCGACTGGTTTGACCCAATCGTAGCGCGAGATACGTTGATAAATAGCTGAGACGTTGTGATATTCGGTGGAAATCTTTCTGGCTAGATGTAGATTGTCTGTCGGGCTGTAATTGTCTATTCGTTCGTTTCCAGTTGTAGTCGACATTGTCTCACGAAGTACTTCCAGCCGCTACGTCTGCGCATCTGGTTGGATGAGCTCTATTCTGGATTCGTTCGCCAGCAGGGGCGCTCTTTGTACCACCTTCCATCACAGTAATATTGGTTGAATTTGTCTACTCCCGAATACATAAGCGTTACACCTGTTGTACGGTACGTGCATCTCGGTCGTTGATCTTTCGGAGGTGACAGATTACAGACAGGTCCCGATTGCAGAAGTACCTACGCGGCTAAGTGTTACTAATATCAATATGTATATATGTATACATCATGGGAAGGAACATCAGGTGCGTGAGAGACAAAAATAGAGAGTAACTGAGAACGACACCATACCACATCACGTAATGTTTCAAGTTACTCAAAAGTCCAATCCAGAGAACTCCAAATGAGAGGCTTGACTCTAATTGAATCTCTATGTCAAATTAGGGTATTATCATGATCTAAGTTCCACTGATCTCCTAGCAGTTGCAGTCTGCCTCGGAATTTTTTTTCACAGAAGCTCTACAATTACAGTATTTGAGGTTTCGTGCCTGATTGGATTAGAACATTCTTCCAACAACGGACCATATCAGTTCGTGTTTCTTATCCCCTATCCGGTTCAATCAACCCTATACACAGTGTTCAAAAAGGGTTTGTCCTCGATCCCCGACTTTTCCTTGCATTCATAAACGATCTACCGAATGTGTTAGGGTCAAAAATAAAACTGTTTGCAGATGACGCTAAAATCTGGAAAACAGCATAAGAACCCCGATGGTTTGCTAACGCTTTAAGAAACACTTAACACAGCTTATGAATGATCTACAGAGGACGATGGGGTTTCTAAATGCAAAGTTGTATCGCGATGCCACAAGAGTAGATTCTCGTATTTCCTCGGAAATCAGTAGGTACCTGATACCTCAAATGAGAAAAACTTAGATATAATTGTTTAAGAGCACCTAAGTTGTTCGATCAATTGCACTAGGGCTTCTCCCGCTGCTAAAAAGAATGTCGACTTATTTAGGCAATTCTTTGGTCGAACTGAACCAGAGTTGTTCCAAAGCTTGCTATCAATGTACACTCGGCCCTACCCAGAGTACACCATCCAAGCTTGGAGTCCATGGTTGCAACGTGATCGCAAGATGTTTGAGTGTCCACAAAGGATGGCCACCAAGATGGTCAAGGGCTTGCATTGCCTCACCTATGAGGATAGATTAAGATCTTTGGGACTATATTCTGCTCAGTAAAGCCCAAATCGTGGAGACTTTGTTCTGACATATCAAAGACTGCAGAATCCAAACCATCCATTTCGACCGCTGCTGGCTCAACATATGCCTCGAGGGATATCGTTTCAAGGTATTGATTCCAAAGTATCGAGTGGAATGCTGGCGCCAATCTTTTGCAGTCAGAGTGTGTAGTACTCGGAACACCCTTCCATCTCACGTTGTTTGTGCATCAACTATTGAATCTTTCAAACGGATACTTGATCAACCTTGGCACATCTCGCATCCCTGCACAACCCAAAAAAATGCAAATGAGCTGAAGACTACATTATCTGTTATCTTTTACCCGGAACTCTATGCGCTATTTTATTATTTTTTCTCCGAGAAACGATTCAGTTTCGTAAATAGCCTATGGGGACAAGCGAAGCATGAACTTGTAGGTAATTCCCATGATGAAAGTTGGACTTTGACTCTGACATCAAGGAACCGTCTTTAGTGATATGATTATTATATGCTTAGTCATGGTAATCTAATGAAGAAATTAGCTGAGTACCGGAGATGAATAACAAATAAACAAGCTAACGAGTA